GGGGGCCTGGTCCGGTATGGGCGCGACCCTGAGGGTTGCGATCCGTTGCCGGTCACGAAAAAAGACAAAAAGACAAAAAAAAAAAAAAATCAGGACAAAAAGAAAAGAAAGCAAAAGAAAAGAGAGAGGAAGAAAGACAGAAAGAAAAAAAAAGAAAGAAGAGAGAAAAAAGGAAAGAAAAGGGGGGGAGGAAAAGTGGTGGACTAATGGGTACAAACTATGCTCTCTACCCTAAGTGAGTAACTGTGCAGTATATGCATGTATTGAGACAACTCACTGTGCTCCACAAATATGTACAAGCAAATATTACAATATTTTGAATAATAAAAAAGAATGAAAAGTAAAGAAAAGGGCCGGGGGGAGGCTGGCCTGTTAGCTCAGCTGGTTAGAGTGCAGCCTTGTAACACCAAGGTCAAGGGTATGGTTCCCCATACCAGCTAGCTGCCAAAAAAAAAAAAACAGAAAAAAAAAGAAATAAAGAAAAAGAGAAAGGAGAGAAAGAAATCTCAATAATTTTTAAAATACCGTTTAAATGTTGAAGTGATAATACATATCTGTTAAATAAAATATATTATTAAAATTAACTTTAGCTGTTCCTACTTTTGGAAATGTGGCTACTCAAAAGTTTAAAATTATATATGTTGTTCACATTTTATTTCTCCTGGACAGTGGTGCCACAGAACATTCAACTAATGGTAGCAACAACAGAGCCATTATTTTGAGAGGTTTGCATGTATATCTAGATATCATTAGAAAATATCTAAAAATGAAAGCTCTCTCTTGCAGAAAAACTGCCAGCTAGTAAGTGTTGAAAGAATAACAGATAATTATATTATTCTGTTTTGCAAACCCCATTGGAAAAATTGATTAAGACAAGGATCATCGATGAATGCAAAGACATGATTTCTTATAATGAAATAATAAAGGTTATTGCAGAAGATATTATTCATCCAGTGGTAAAATGTCACCTTAAAGATTATTTACAAATTGCAAAAGAAGAGATGTGGTGGTCACCACCTTAACAAAATGGTCAAATTTAGCATATGTATAGTGCTACGACTCACATTACAGGCTTCGTGATATATGGCAATATGAGGTCAACATTGCCTACAAAGTATTTTTCCCTAATGTTTTATTGTGAAAATTTTCTTTTCTATTTTTTTTTTTTGTGTGTAGCTGGCTAGTATGGGGATCCCAACGCTTGACCTTGGTGTTATAACACCGTGCTCTAACTGAGCTAACTGGACAGCCCTAATGTGAAAATTTTCAAACATAGTGCAACATTGAAAGAATTTAATAAGTGAAAATCATACTCCAACCACCTACTATTTTAGTATACTTAATCACATATCTCTCTGTTTCCCTATCTATTCATCAATCCATTTTATTTTTTGATGCATGTCAAAGTAAACTGCAGCCATTAGTACATTTCCCCCTAAATAATCTATGAAGTTTTCTTGTCAAAAATACTCAACCTGAGGGCTGGCCCGGTGGCGCACTGCTACAGTACGCCGCTTGGGAAGCGCGGCAGGCGCTCCCACTGAGGGTTCGGATCCCACATACAGACCGGTTCCCGCTCACTGGCTGAGCGAGGCGTGGGAGCAACACCGAGGGTTGCGATCCCGTTGCCGGTCCCGGTCCGGTGCGGGCGCGACACTGAGGGTTGCGATCCGTTGCCGGACACGAAAAAAGACAAAAAGGAAAAAAAAAAAAATACTAAACCTGAACTAATGAAGGCTTTAATTCTAACTTCCATTTTACAGGAAATAACAGAGGATAAAGAAATAAATTATCTGATAATGAAAGAAAACACAGAATGTGAAACACTCCGTAAGATTACATGGTTTAAAAAGTTTGTTATGAAAAAAAAGTTCGGGTGACTAGATTTAAGAGTCTAGAGAGACATTCTAATTTGCCAACCTAAAACAGATACTACTTTAAAAAAGAAGAGCTACAAAAGACATTCTTGCCACAACTATAGAAATGTGACTATGGACTGGATATTAGGTGATATTACTAATTTTCTTAGGTGTGTTCATGGGGACTGTGGTTATATAGGAGAATCTCCTTATTCTTAGGAGAAAAATGGTGAATAGACACACATAAATCTTAAAATTTACTCATTTATTTGTTTTAGAGATACAGCAAATGTAACAAAATGTTAACAATTACTGTATCTAAGCAGAGTGTAAAACAGATGTTTACTATGCTAGTCTTTCAACTTTTCTGTACATCTGAAACGTTTCTAAACAGAAATGGGAGGGAGCAGAAAAGATTCTAAAAATTCATTGCAGAGAGGTTGATATAGTCTATTCTGTTTTGTTCTGCCTGAGCCTTTTGGACTGAGAATGTGATCTTTGGGGGACAAAAAATCTTATCACAGAAATACGTCATACAAAAGTAAGTCTCTGTAACATTCTTCATTTTCACCTCAGAGCCAATGCTATTATCCTATATTCCAAGTGATGATGTAGTCTGTATGGAAGGGCTTTAAGTCTATAACATTACAGAAGACAGCTCAATCATAAATTTACACTTGAGAGCAGGCTCACTGCCACCAGCCTGTGTAAATGCATAGATTGAGACAGGCCCACAGCTTCAGATTTTCCTTTACATATCACTTGTTAAAAGTATCTTGCAATAGATCTTGCCTACTCCTAGAAACTCTAGACATCAAGGTTTTTGTCAATTCCTTTTTCCTTAAGATTTCATTCTGCATTCCAACCTACAGCTGCTTCTGGGAATCATCAGGGTGGCTTCATCCTAGATCACTACCTAGGTCAGATGAAACTATCTTATTAAAGTCAGCACATGGATTGAATGAACAAAGTGGTCTTGCTTCAAAAGACATAAATAAAAGGAAATGATATTTACCAGGGTTTGTCTTCTCAAGTTGATACCATCGGTAAAATGCTCTCTTCTTCTGTTCACTCAGGTCTGATCCCTGCTGCAACAGCCAATGAGAGATCCGGCTTTGACTGATACCTAGGCAGAAAGAGAAATAGCTTTTGGGGGTCACTGAAACCACAGGGAAGTTAATGAGGGTTCTGCTGGTTCTAGGTTAATGAGTGCTGTATTCTCTGTGTCACTATGAGGAAGCTGCAACTTGAGCAAACTCCTTAATACGAGGAAGGCTGACTGGCAAGGACAGACTCAGAGATTTTCTCTTAGAGGTCAAAGCATTTTATTGCCCAAGTCTTAACAGTGGCCTCTAAAATTAATCTCCTAACCAGGTCCATGAAAATGAGATAAATGAAGAGATTCCTAAAGTAACAGTTATGTTACCGAGACCCCAAAGGCCCATTTGCTCCCCGCTCAATAGCCAGTAATCAAGTGATAAGAGCTGTGTAAGAAAAGGTGGCCTTTGATGAGGAAGCCGGCAGCCAGGGAACATGGCAGACTTATGTCTCAAAGACTATCTCCTCCTCTCCCAGCTTTGCCAAAGGATTTTATAGGGGCCTGTGGTGGAAAGCAGATCCATGGTGACCAAGCAGGGATGTGCAGACGTGCTAGAGTGTTCCAGATAATCATCAAGGAACTTCCCGGGTGTGACTGACCATCGTCAGACTTTGTTCTCCATGGGTTCAGTTCCTCTTAATCTCAAATAAGATCAGGTTAGTAACCTAGTAAAGAATGACTGTCTGGGTTAATAATTCTTTCTCTAATTATTTTGTGTACAATGTGAGCAAGAGTCACTGTGTTCTGGCAATTAGCTGCAGGCTCTGTGATTTGGGTTACAGGAGAGAACAAGGTTTTAAATTCAAAGGTTTAACAAAATGGAGTCACTTCTGTTCAGGCTGTTATAGTTATTTGTCAGAGGCTGTTTATATTTGTGCTTCCTCAACCACCACTGCCCTCCACTGCACCCCTGATTTAGAATATTAGAACTTTCAACAGTCACTAAGAAAAAAAAAAATCAAGTTAGCAAGTTTTGCTATCCATTAGTGATATTGATAAAAAGATTCAGGGGCTAGGAATGAAGAGGTCACTGAAAATACTGTCTTCAATAAGGTTTCTGGCTTATTTGTTAATTCATTTAGGTATTTTTAGACTTATTACCATTAGTACGAAGAAGTAAGAATTGGCATACTTTTAGAGTTATGCTGCAATACAACCTCTTAAAATAAATCTCGACAGCTAAAGATGTTCTTCCAACATGTGCACTTTCCAAAAAATGGAACAGAATATAAAACAGCAGTTTCTGCTATCACTAAGAAGTTCTTGACAGCAATTACTTTGAAATGTGAAGAATCTCCACATCTGAAAGTAAAAAAAGCATGTCTAAAGCTTACTAGTATGAGAATCACATGCTCATTGTGGTCCTTATAGCTATTCCAAAAAATGAATACAACGGGCAAAAGTGAAGAATATCAGGAGAGACAAAACTGTCTTATGAAGTCCACCAAAAGATTGACCAATCGGCCATCATAGACAATTACCAATATCTAAACCCTCCTAAGGAATTACTTATTGTAACCAGGCATTCCTGAATACCACCTGTGCCAACACTTGATTAAAGCTATAATGCCCAACAAGAAGACTGGCTACCATGAAGTAATCACACCCCTTATCATGAGAAAGGGCAGTAGGTTGGTCTGGTGATCATGTTTAAATCATTAAAAGCATGCCCATAGAGTTTCAAACACTTAAAAATGGATGTTAAAAGAAAATTTGAGGAAATGGGGGAGGGCTAAAAGAAAGACTGCAAAGCAAGGTTCTCCGACTAGAAACATCTTTCACTTTCAAAGGGCAAAATTCAGTTTTCCTAAACCCAAGCGATGTACGTTCTCAAGTAATTCACAAAGGAGTTTTCCAGAGGATGTATGTGATGCAGGTGCTGGCAGCTAGCACTGTGTCCTTGTTCTAAGAGAATGCAAATTACTCTGAATAAGTAAATCAGCCATGTTAGGCTATCTTTTACCAAAAGCCTAGTTTCAGACATTATAGTTTTTTTTACACTACTTTTAAACAAGAGCAAGGAAAACAACCATTTACCACCATGAAATCAGAATTGACTTTCATGCGAACAAAATGAAACTATTTTACATGGATTCTTCATTGGTACCATGCACTCAAAAACAGGGAATTTGAAGAAAATCTGTTAAGAAAAAAAAATATATCAGTTCTGTTAGTTTGTTCCAATATTAAATCTTCCTTACATAGCCAGATCACACAAAGAACAAAGCACAGAGCCAACTAGACATAGGAGCTGTCCAGGTTCGGGCTGTGCTATAGTGGGGAGGGCAGAAGCCCATCAAAAGGACATGACTTAAATTATAGTATATTTATGTAACAAAATAGTGGCAGACTTTTAAAATTAATGTTTTTAAAAAGCCATCAAACATATAATATTATTTTAAAAAAACCAAACAACCAATTAACCAAGAAGGCAACAATATCGAGTATTGGCAAGGACATGGGATATATGGGACTCATACTGCTGATGGAAGGGTAAAATGGCAGGACCACTTTGGAAACAGGTAGACAGTATCTACTAAAGCTGAACATACATATATGTATACCCTATGACCTAGCTATTTCTTTACTAGATATACAGTACACAGAAATGTGTACATACTCAAAACATGTACAAGAAGGCTGATTACATGAGCTGTAATAGCTTCTAAGGTGAAACAACAAAATGCCCATCAACAGTAGAATGCATAAATCGTGTTATCTTGCATTCTACTGTAGACTGCTATACCTAATAGAAAAAAGATAAACTAGGGCTGGCCAGTTAGCTCACCTGGGAGAGGGTGGTGCTGAGAACACAAAGGTCAAGGGTTTGGATCCCCATACCAGCCAGTCACCACCCCCAAAAAAGAAAAAAGACAAACTACCGCTACATGCAACCACATGGATAAATCTCACAAAAATAATGTTGACCAAAAAAAGCCAGACACACACACACACACACACACACGTAAAAGCCATATACAACTGTATGATTCAATTTATATAAAGTTAAAAAACAGACATGACTAATCTATACGGATCAAAATCAGAATAGGGGTCACCTATGTAGGAGAGAAAGGTTAATGACAGGGAGGCAGTATGAGGAAGGCTTGAGTGGTGACTAGCACTCCTCTCCATCTTGATCTGGAAGGTGGATATATGGGTGTCTTCACTTACTAAAAGTCATTAAACTGGATACTTTTCTGTATATATTTTTAAATAGAAGTTTCCCAAAAGAAGTCTTTAAAATTCTATGAAGTTTCAAAAAAAAAAAGAGTAAATGTATATGTATCAGTAGGAAAGATGTCCACGATATAAATGAAAAAGTAGATTTTCTTTAAAGAGTAAGAAAAAAAAGTTTATATTTTTATGAATATACAATTTTTCATAATTTACACTGTTTTGTATAGTAGCAAAAGCTTATATATAACCAAAGATGCACAATATGAATTGTGAGTGTAGTCTTTTCCTAACTCCTTCTACCTCTATATTGTTTTCTGAATCTTACTATAAATATGAAGGGTTTTCAAAAAGCTCATGGAAGGATTTGTATTACCACTGAATTCAATTTTTCCATGAGCTTTTTGAAGTACTCTCATATGTATTAATTTAATTGATTTAATTTTTGGTTCCTTGTGGCCCCCCCCTCCCCGTACATACTTTTTTGGTTGTTTTATGAACATTGTAATTAAGTTAAAATAAAAGTTGCAAAAAGAAGTTAATTTCTGCCTTCCCTGTCCAATTCTACTCTCTGAGGTAAGAAACATTATCTGTTTATACATACGTTGCTCCACAATTTTCTCTATGTGCAATTATTAATTTAACAAAACAAAGGGAGAAGAAGGTGATATAGAATATCCTCCTGTCTCATCTTTTGTGTTAGGAGGAAATAAGTAATTTCTTCCCTATAAATTTAATCTCAGTTTTCACATAATATGTGTAGAAAACACAGTAATAAAGCAGGTAATTTTTCCAGAAGAGGCACTGTAAAAAAAAAAAAGAAATTATATATATATACACACACACATATATATTGTACATGAATTTTCTTAGCAGCTTGTTAGGTAAGTTTCCTTTAACTCATCCTTCTGGGGCTAGTTTGGAAGTTGAGCTTGGTATCACAAGTCCCTGCAACTTGTCTTTACTGTCAGCTTTAACACTTTTGGGGAAAAAATTTCCCTAACTTCCCCCCTACTTCCCACTGCTGAAAAAAATGGCATTGTCCAAGGTTTTAGCTTCTCAAAACCTCCTCTTTCTACCTTTTACAGGTAGAAGAAAAATTTGTATATAACCTACATACATTGAAACTAAAACTAATCCCCGATTAATTTCTTTCCAATAGGAAAGTAATCACATTGCATTCTAAGGAAGAAAAAGACTCTATGCCAGCCTCATTGCATCATTTTCTGAGCTTCAGCTCCCTTCCACTAGAGGGCTCTCCACAATAATCCATTCTCGTCAAAGTCCCCAACTACAAATTGAAATGATTCATCTTCCTTCCACTTCCTGTGGCATGTGACACTACTGACCACTCACATCACCTATATCCTTGCAATGCTGGATACAACTCTTCCAATGCATCTTTTTTGTTGGCTTCGGGCTGCTTTGCTGGCTCCTTCCACGTCAGTGGTCCCCAGGGTTCCATCTTTAAGCATCTTCTCTCACTCTATAGATTCCTCCCTTTGGTCTTCTCAGTTATCAACAATCATGATTTAAAATGTCCTCTAAATGCCCAAGACTTCCAGAGCACCAGACTGCGCTTTCAAACCATCTGCTAGATGGCTTTAATGAAAACTTCATAGATCTTCAACACAGTAAACTTAATTCATTATCCTCATCCTCAAATCTGCTCTTCCTGTGTCCCCATCTCAGTTTTATCTTCCATCCCCCCAGCTCTCACATGCTTAATAAACCCAACCACTTTCTCTTCCTAAAATTCTCTTCATGTTCTCTCCAATCCTCATTCCTGCAGTTTGGAATCTCAGCCTCTTTTGCCTGGACAACTGTAATAACTTTGATGAAAAACAACA